GCTGGAAAGCATGAAGCTGGAAGGGAATTCCACAAGTGAGAAGTGTGAGAAAATAAACTATAAATCAACTATAATTGGTGAGACTTCATAACCAGTCTAGTATTAAGCTTACATTCAAAGAGTCTAGACACCATAGAGAAGCAATCATCCAAACAGTTACCATGAAAGTATTTATAGAAAAGGCAAAAGGAGTCAACCTTATGGTAGTGAGAAAGTAACAGAAGCGGAGGCGCCAGATCGGGGACAATAATATTGCTGATTCTTTGGATTTTATCAAGGAGCTCTAGATAGCAGGAGCACTAGACCATATGTGTCAGCAATATTCTAAGCATGGGCAAATGGTAGACATAGATATGTAAGATAGACTCTGAAGAGAAAACTGTCCAACATGACACAGTGAACTAACCTTCCTGGCAGCTGACCTGGCATTGGATTCAGTATAGTCTTTTCACTTCATGTCAGCTGAGGACATTAGCCCAAGAAAGCACAGCGAGCCACTCTCCTGGAGGTCAGCATCAGACATTCCGATGAAAGGAAGAGAGGGTTCTGTCAGATGATTAAAAGAGTGCATTAAATTTACAAAAATTAACATCCTTTGCCCCAGTTAACAACAGACTGATGGTTGTTTTGGGTATCAGCTGCCATTTTGACATTATAAAACTGATCAGACTTAATATCAAGATGAGCGTAAATAGTTGTGTCATCAGTGTAGATATGAAGTTGAGAACTGATGTTATCAGGAAGGTCATTAATGAAAATCAAAAACAAAGTAGAACCAATGATGGAGATGGAGACACTTGTCTTAGTATGAAAGGAAGTGGAATAGTGAAAATTCAGAATTACTTTCATTTCACAATTCAATAGGAAAGACTGGATCAATTCAAAAATTTGTCCAGAGACACTAACCTTTCAGTTTGTAGAGAACACTTGCATTCGAGATGTCCAAAGCTACAGCCAGGGCATCATCATTTTTATCTCGAGCTTGATAGACACTTTCTGCAATTGTTGTCAGTACATCAGCAGTTGACCTGGAGAAATGAAAGCCATCTTGCTTGTCTGTGATCTGAGATGCTTAACCAATTCAACATTGATTAGGGCTTCTAGGAGTTTCCCAAAAAGAGTTAGTTGGACGGTTCACCAGAATTCTTAAAAATTGGATCAACAGATGAGGACTTCCGTCAAGCAGGAAAGCAAGAGATGGTGAGGCACATACAGTTTAGAGAGAACAGGGGCCAGTTTGGGGGCACACTTCTTAATGACTATTACAGGGATATCATCAGGTACACATTTGTAGGGATCCAGGATAAAGGTGATAGCAGAAAACATAGAAGGGGTTATAAGCATATCACTCCAACGAGACTAAATTCTAGGTGGAAAGTTAGGCAGGAACACTCCAGATGAGTCAAGAGTACAGTTTGAGGAGAATTTACAAGTGAAACATTCAGCTTTATCAGCAGAGAGATGTTAACACATTAAACTGTTTGAAGAGAGGAAGGCTAAAGAACTTACACTTATTTAATACACTATTACAGAGACACCAGTAATCATGAGAGCCAACATTTTTTTATGCAGTATAGTGCCTCATTCTCTCAGCAAACAGAGACTTAGCTCCTTTGAGGACTTGTTTATATTTATTACAAGCGAATTAACAAATTCTGCTGAGGCCACCAGAGAGAGAACACAGGAAGAGAAAATCATAGTTTTTTTTTCTTTTTTATAATAATGTTCACCCTGTACAAAGCCCAAGAGTTACTCAAGGTAGCAGGCATAAGAACAGACCAATAGATTATCACCCTAACAATTTGAAATGTGAGAGAACAAGTAAACTGATGTTTGATGAAACTGTTGTTCTATCATTGTCATAATTGTGGATGAGTGATTTGAAGTTAAGACTACAACATACTTCGATCAAGCATTAGAATTGAGGAAAGGAACATGCTAGTTTGAAATGCTCATGTAACCAACAGCTATTCTTATCTTTGTCTTTATTCCAACACTTCAATCAGTTTTGGGAATCTGTCAACTTACATTTTTTGTCACACATACATTTTTTGTGACACATAACTGACTTGCGTTTGTGATGTTTCAAGTCTGAGCTTGGGATTTTCTCAGATTCTATCTAAATTCAATATGTATGGAGAAGCCTTCTGTTCAGGATGTTACTGAACAATGAGCAGAAAAACTGGCTGATAGCATCAACCATTGTGTTATTTCTATGCTAGAAACAAAAAACAAGGAAGAGTAAACACCAAGCCAGCAAAAAGATGCACACATGAAACATCCCACATCTTTACTCAAGCATAGTGTTACATTTAGTACTGTGAACAGAAGGTTTTGGCCCTGAAGTCACCACAGAAAGAGGCAGAGCATGTTTTGCTACATTTAGTAACACCAGAATAATGACTCCATCCCAGATATAGTACTAAACTTTTACTTGTACCTACTAAACAATGGATACTATATCTAATGTTAAAACTTCTTGGACTACTGGTTTATATTTTTTAATGAAAATCCTAGACAGTTATGACTTGCTGTACTCATTAACTGTTCTATGTAATTATTTTTTTGTTTCATTAAGAAGTTGATGCAATCAAAAAGTAACTTAAGGATAAGTTAATGATGATCTTGAGTGATTATAACAGGTTACATTATGTCAGTAAATAGGATGAGGGATCCTGTCTCTCTCTCTCATTTTCCATGCTATTTAATTTCCCTGTTCTGTTCAACTCAAAGCAGTAATATTTTTATTAGAATCTTTAAAATTTTAAACTAATTTTAAAATTAATTTTGATTTAAACCTTTTGTATTTTTTATATTGTTCATTTCAAATAATGATAATTATAAGAAATTATGTCAATGTATATTAAATACTGTTGGATATGATGAATGAACCATAATTATATTGCAATGAAAATTATATCTTGAAAGATCCTCTTTCTTTTGTAAAACTTTAGTCTATAATAAAGATGACTGACAGAGACAGAAATATGAGGGTATATCTTTGGTGCTATAGATTTTAAATAATTTTTTCTTTTAATGTAGCAAAAATAAATAAATTGCTAGTGTTGTGATAATTTTAAAAAATGAATTTAAGATAATTATTACCATAAATATTCTTCAGTACTTGCTGATAGAAAATATTTTCATTTGTTGCAATGTTAACTAAGCCAGTTTTTGTGAACAATAATATTTTCATTGTTACAATAGTATTTTCATGTTTTAATTTTTCTTTTTATCTCATTAAATTTTAGATTATTAATTGGGCCTGTTTGACTTAAATACAGATATAATTCTTTTTACCATGAAAGTCTTTCTTTCTGAATATTTAATAGTTGTGATAAACTAGACATTTCAAAGAAAAAAAGAAACTTTGAATATTTTTCAAGCATTTCTTATGAAGCAAAACTAGATATAATTTTACTTTTATATAATTTTCATTTTTGAAGAAACTATGGATTGGTATATTATTATGCCAATTGATTTTGTTTTGTAATTCCTTTGGGTATGTATTAGAACAGTATTTGTTTTGCTGTATGTGTATCTATCATACTTTTCCTTTTCTGGCATATGTGATACATGCTTGGGTGATCATCTCTTTTTCAATTCATGACTGACTAGGCAGAAAATTTTCCTACGGTAGGTTGCCATTTCTTTCTGCAGTGGACTGGTTGCCAATCAAGGCTATAGAATTCAGTTTGTCTTGCTATTCAACCCATACCTGGAGGGAGAAGAGATGAATTCATACTTTCCTAAGGGTATTTGCATGTAAAAGTATGTAATGAACTTGGTTGGAATTTGAGTTTGTTACATTCACTTTCCCTCTTAGGTGGCTTAATTTATAAATAGGGATACTATTTTTCCCAATATTGCATTTCTTCATCACCAACAACAATCACACTTGGCTTTTTTATTTCCTGTTTGTGTTACAAATATAATCAACTTGGTTTCACTTTGTATCATTGAACTATTATTTCATGGCATATTTCTTACTTTTTGTTTCATATGCCACTCTTATTAAGTTCAATATATAGTATCTCTATTCATTAAAATGATTTTAGTATTATGCACCTGATTTAATACATAATTATTACTTCAGCATACTCTCTCTTGCTTAGTTTCTCACTGAATTATATTAGTATGTATGTATGTATGTGTGTGTGTGTGTATATATATATATATATATATATATATATATATAACATCAATACTGAACTCTATATCCAGTTAGAATGTTGAGATATTTTAAATTGTTGCTTGATTACAGTTTGGTATCATTGACTATTTCTAGAAATGTAACTTTTTGTAAAGTGAAATATTGAAATAATTTCTATTTTGTGTTAACTTGGTTTTGCTATATTTGTAATGCTGGTTAATAATTAAGAACATTCAATTATGTCCCAGTTGAGGAATGCAGGAGAAATGTCTAATAGATAAGCTATATTACCTAGAATTAGTTAAAAAATATAGATAATTGTTTCAGATGAAAACCAATTTTCTTGATATTTTTTCTTAAAATCTGAGGTATATTTCCTTTTTCTTCACTTTTGATTTTGGCTCACTCAAATATAGAAAGTCCATTTTTACTTTCTTCTTGCTATCAGTGGCTATTGTAAATTTTTTTATCAATCTGCAAATATATTCATTAAAGCCATTTTGTTTAAATCATCTAAAATTCCTCTTGTTTATTGCAAGTGTTCAAAGCACAATATCTGTTTCTTAAATTAAAAACAGTTTAATTTCTATAAAATGTTTTGATAAATATATAGAAATGATCCTATTGTCTTGGTTGCTTTTTATGTTACTAACAGATATTGAACTTTCTTCATATCCAATTTTGACATTTTCTCCAGTATTTTTTTTATGAATTAACAAATGTGTGCAGTACCACTTTTTATTCCATTAGTTTCAGGATTTTGTGTACATCATTTTACTAATAACATTGATAACATAAAAAAAATTATCTTTTATATTATAATTATTAATTCCATTTTTCTTTACAGGGAAATTTGAAACAATGCCAGTTTGTAATCATGACAGTTCATGATTTGGGATGCAATTGTAAGTAAAAATCATTTATTCATCTAAAGAAAATAAAAGAATAAAAATAAAACTCTGAATTCATTATCTGGGTTAAGGTGACATCTTACCGATGGATTTTTAGATGTTGATTATTTGCAGTAATAATGTAGTTATCCTCAGTTCTTAGTATTACTTTTAGGTCATTTTTATTAATCAGACTTTTTACATTCAATAAGAATATTAAGTGCCATTGTTTCCTATAGTTTGGCTTGATAATGTGGAGTGAGTAACCATGGTTAAATGTAAAATAAATACTAACTGTCTAACAAATGAAATTGACACAGTTTGCAATAATAAGAAAAAGAAAAGAACAAGGCAAAAATAATATAAAGCAAGCAAACAATATATGCAAGGCAAATTAACAATATTAAGGTAAAGCAACAGTAATATGGCAAAAAGTTCACAAACTAAGAATTGGGGTTGACACACAAGAGCAAGTTTGGACAAGTGAACAGTGTTCTGACTTCAAGACAAGACAGACTAGGATGAGTCAGATGAAACCAAGAACTGGCCTGTTTTATTGGCTAGGAGAAAAATTCCAGCATGTATTTGTGTGTTTCTGTCTATAAATTGAGGAGGGGAACGTGTTTTGTAGTAATTTCAAATTGGGTGGAAACCAACAATAGTTTAGTGTAAATAAGTAAATTTTCAAGTATGGCATATAAATGTTAGTTTGGTTAGTTAATCAGTAAAAAATTGGTGAAAAATAATTTTGAATTGGTGATTTCACAAGTAAAATCCAGTGTGTTATATTGTTTTTAAGGTAGAAAGTATCAAAATAGATGAATATGCTTGCAATTAAAATATCAATTCATTTATCATATCACACTAAGTATACAGGGTGCGATAAGTAAATTGTCGCCATTTTATGTTATTAATTTTGCATGTGTGCATTGCTTGTTTTTGTTGACTGCAGAGTATAGTAGTGTCAATTGGACACTGTCTATGAGAAAAAAAAGTGCCCCATGATGCAAATACACTCCTCCAGAAATTGGGGAATGGCATGCTGTACTGCTTAGCATTCATGCCAGAAGCTCCAATACAAACATTTCAGTGTGTTTGGGTATCAATCTGAGGACAGCACAAAGGATTTGGAGAGAGTTGGATGAGTCTAATGGTGATTATGAAGGTATGGAAGCTTGGAAAACTAACTCTGATCATTCTGATAAGAAAAGAACTCACAAATCTGTTGGTGAGGGCCTCAGACTCAGCACAGTAGTATATTTTTGTCATATTCACACTGCTTTTATGATTCTGAATTTAACTGGTTTATGATCTTGAAAATTTCTTTAACTGCAACAAGTTGTTCAGCAAAATTTAGGGGCAATCTTACTTGATCTAGTGTTGCTTCTCCTCTACTCTTTCTTTTTTAAAGTTTCCTTTTCTTCTCTGAAATTATAATATTAGCCTAAAAAATCATTCATGTTATTAAGTAAAAATAAAATAACACATTTTTATTTTCAACATTGACTATATCACACATTATTTGACATTTTGATTCATCTTCAGCTGTCTTTCAGGCAACAGTAGATGTGTGGGTGGTGTAGTGAATAGTGGCTTAGAATGAGAAATCAGAGAGCTGAGTTTGAATTCCAGTCAGGTTTATTACATTCACTTATGCACAAATACCCTTGGAAAAGGAATGAATCCATCCCCCACCAGGAATTGGTTGAATAGTATGAAATGTACCTGGAAAAATTATTGTTATTTTAAAAATAATGCAATATTCAGTTGCAGAGAAAGAAACAAAAAGAATTATTCTTACAATTCAAAAGGTTTTTTTGGTTTTAAATAGTGAGTTTGGGCAGTTTGATAAGGTCAAATTAGCAGCTGATCTAAAAAAATGTCCATTCTGTTAACTGGGGCAAGGAATGGCGTATGAATTTTAATGCCTCCAAAACAAAACTGCTGTTTATTAATTGTCTGAGAGAAACCTTTCTGCCTTCCATCAGCATAGCTAGTGCTAGCCTCCAGGAGAGTGACTTGTTGCATCTTTTTATGCTAACATTTTCCACTGACATGAAGTGGAAAGATATTGAATCAATTTGCTAAGTCTGCTGCTAAGAAAGTTGCTTCTCTGTGTTGTGCTAGATAAATATTTTTGCCCAAATCTATTTTACATATTTACAAGTCTACCATTTGTTCATGCTTAGAATATTGCTGCAACATATAGTTTGGTACTATAGTTATATATTTAGAGATCCTTGATAAAATCTAAAGAAGAATCTGCAGTGTTATTGGTCCTGACCTGGCATCTCAACTTCAGTCACTTTCCCACCACCATAATGTAGCTTCCCTATCCCTTTTCTATAAACCCTTTCATAGTAATTGTTCTGTTGAACTCTTCTCTATGGTATCTAAACTCTATGAATTTAAGTACATTATTAGATTGGTAGCAAGATCTCATTTTACACTCAAAATGGCTAGATATAACCATAAGTTCTATGCTAACAGTTTTCTTTTATAGAGCTTCTTGCTTGTGAAACTTTCTTCTGGCTCCTTGCTTTCCAGTCAAGTTTGATCTTCAGAAATTTAAATGCAATTACGTTGTCCTATTATCGTCACTCCTTAATATTTTTCTTATATTCTTTCACACTCAGTAATCCCTTGGATGTTAGTGGGTCTGTTACCTTGCTTGGGGTGAAATAAATAAAATACATGCAAAATGTTGATAAGCTATAAAAAAAAATAATCAAATCAAATTCAGGCAACATTATAATTCTATCCTCTAAATGATTTTATCTTTCTTAGCAAAGAATTGTGCTTGTACCATTTGCAGTTTTCTAGGAAATTAAAAATTTGTTATAAGAATTTTGTATGACCAGAATAAATAATGATCTAAAGTGCAATTTCTGCTGAATACAGAAAATGTATGCAAACTTCTCGGCCAAACTGGGACAATGTTTTTCTAGCCATCAAAGAAACATGCAGTCTAGGGTTATTCTCATGGAATTATTTTCTTTTTGTTCAATAATTTTCAATACAACACATCGGTTACTGCTTTCACTTGGGTATGTGGGAGCAGTGCTTGTTCAAATAATTCATTTAGTTCTCTGAAAGCAGCTTATATTAGAGGATTTCCTTTCAATTCCACTCTATACACAGCATATTCTTCTTTGGATGAAGACTGGACTTTGATATGATTAGTAATGGTTCATTTTTCTTGTTCCACAATCTCTTGCATCTCACACCAAGGTGATGCAAATGATTTTCAATGCTTTATTTGAATATTTTGTACATGTTGGCTGTTGCCTGTATAATATAATGCAATGTCTTGATTTGGTTACTATCAGCGTCATTTTTCTATCCACCCAAGTATAATTGTTCAGCAAAAAATTCTCCAGCATAAAACTTTGCACACAACTTTTGACATATTTGATCACTTATATTAACTTCTCCATAAACCAGGCAAATCTTTTTGTTTGAATTACATTTTTACCTTTCTTAAAATAAAAAAAATATATATTCTGAAAATGTTGCTGTTTTTTTCATTTTTGTTGTTAGAAACTGTATTTTAAAATGACACTTGTAAAAAGTTTCTTTTAAAAATGTAACAGCTGTCAGAATACATGAAAGTAGTTAAAATTAAATGCCTCTGATGAAATCTCATGGTAAAAACCACAAAGTTATAAGCTTCCCAACATTTTAAGTAGATTCCCCAAGTTATTTAAAAAATATTTGTTGATCTATAACAAACAAATTTGGTTTTCAGTTGTTTTCTACATTAAATCCTTTCTCTGTTCAGCAAAGATTATATTACACTGAATTCTATACAGATTTCAATGTGATATAGTTTTCTTATAGGTGTTCTGATTCATGCAACTAGTTGATATATGCTGTTGTTTTTAATTTTCTCACTCTCCAGAGGTGTTCCCTGTTAACTATCTTGACCTTATCTCAGAGAGGATAAGTAATGTGCATAATTCTCTCTCCAATGCTAAATTCTTCTCTTAAATATAGCTTTCTTATGTTCATTTTCTGCTGTAGAAGGGACAGATTGTTTTTCTTACATTTCTGCATTTAGATGAGATGTAATAAATGCAATGTATAAACATTGTATTGGCCAAAAGTATGAAGTGTTTGATATTTGTATTAATTCACATAGACCACTGGAAGAACTATACCAAAAGCACTACCATTTGGTGAATGAAAAATGAAAATCTTTGTTTTAATTTGCACATACCATGTAAGTCAGTATGAAGTTGAAATTAGAGTATAAAATGAAGCATTACTAAAAGGTAAACCACTTTTTTTATTTGGAAGGTAATATGGTAAATGGTTAGAATATGACATTTTTTGGCTATATTATATATTCTCTCACTCTTTCTCTTTTGGATATAGAGTGAAGGGATTGAAAATATGAAAAATATTTTTATTGCTTATGAATTTTATCTAATCTACTTGAGTTAAGAGAAACTAAAAGAAAATACAGAAGTGATGCGATGTCAATCATGAAAATAATAAAGGTCAAAGCCTGTATTAAATGTCTGAATGATGTATTCACAAAGTGAAAACAATGTAATCAACATAAAATAAACTGTCAGATCAGTCAAACTGATTTAAAATAGCAAATAAAATGACTATGAATATACAAAAAACAAAAAAAACAAAAAACAATGAAAATGAGTAATATCAAAATATTTTGAACATATATATATATAACAATATGTTACTGTGATTTATTCAACATATTGTCATCATCTTGGTTTTGATAATCAAAATGTTTTTAACATTGTGCCCTCTGGCTTTCTGGTGTCTGTCATGATTAGTAAACTTCTGCAATTTCCTCTTTAAAAAATCTTATTAAAAATCTGCATAATTTCTGTTCTGGTTTCATTTTTGGTTAGCAATATCACTTTCAACCTTGTCAAAGTAATTGTTTTCTTATGAGATTTGAATGGATCAAAACAACTTTTGTAAGGAATTGGTGTGAAAAGCTGATTTATTGTGACTGTAACATAACGTTTTTTTTTTAATAC